ACCACGAGCCGCCGGCGGGCACCCCTACGTCTCGTTCTGCGCGTCGGCCATCTCGTTGACCATGCCGTCTAAGTGGTGGCGCTTCTCGAGACGCCCCCGAACCGACCGTGAAAGCGGAGTTGAAGATGGCGATGGGCAGAGTCCCAGCAGCGCGGTGAGGTAGAGGAAAGAGGTCACGTTGGCGATGGTGGCTGCTGGGGAGAGGTGCCTCTTGTGCAGGTAGGTGGCACTGCGCCCGCGTGGCCCACGGACGCCCCCTCCCTCTGTCTGGCGGACGCTCGGGCGAGGGGGTCCCGAGCGCCGTTCGCGTCGCTCATGATGTAGGAGGGCGACGCTCCTCGCGGGCTTTCCTGATCTGCTTGAGGACCCCTGCGTCGCGCCTCACTTGCCTGGAGACGTGCTCCAGAATCAGCGGGCAAATCATTGGGCGGCAGTCCTCCATGACCGCCCCAGTGATCGCTGCCGCCTCGCCCACGACGCCGAAACGATGGAGCCCACCTCCACAGCCTCGACCGCCCATCCTCTTGCCGTCGCCCTCGGCCGCGGCGCCGCCTGCGCCCTTGGTCTGCTGGGCCTCGTGCTCCATGGAGTACATGTACTCGCATAGCTGCGCCTGCCGCATCGCCAACTACTCCACCCCGACGAGGTCGGATAGGTTGAGCTGGTCCCAGCACCCGAGGTGCTCGATAATCTTCATGATGCTCTCGCAGGACTGACCCTGTAGCCGTCCTTCGCGAGGTGGTAACATGCCACGAAGGCAAAGATGTGCCCCACAGGCCCCGAGCGCTTTCTGTCGATGAACTGGGCGCACCAGGGCACCGTCCTGGGCCCATCCAGGAGCCATCCTGGGATGGCGTTCCCCACCAGCAGCGGCGCCGCCTCACGACATGCCAGGCGAACCCAGTGTCCGTCAGCTCTCGGCGCCACGCCCAGCAGCCTGATGTCCGAGCCGCTCTCCGCGCACCTGTAGAGATCCGTCGGATGGCCACCCACCCAGCACCCTGCTGCGACAGCGCGACGTCCCCCTCGATCCTCTCCGAACCGTCGAGGTTGACCACGTCTCAGAGACAGCCAGCGCCAGTGGTCTCCATTAGCGCCCGCACGGGCCCAGGCACGGCGGGCGCCGCGGGCGCCGCAAGCACAACTCCAACGCCGGGCGCACCGACCGCCGCGCCTACCGCGAGGGGCGGGGTCGCCTGCGGGGCCGCGGCAGTTGGAGGGGCGCCGGCGGCCGCGGGGGCCAGCACGCCAGCCAGGGCTGCTGCGGCGGCGGCGCCGCCAGCTCCAGCAGGGCCAGCGACGGCAGCGAGCCCTCGAGGCGCGGCAGCGCCAGCGTTCGCGAAGTCGAACTTCACGCAGGCGCCGCCCACAGGGAGAACTAGCGGCCGTCCAGCAACCCGCTCCCTGGCGAGGTACAAACCCTGGGCCACCTCATTAAACGCGTCGCCGATGGCCGTCGTCTCGGGGGCGCTCGGCTCCCGGCGGAACCGATGCTGCAAACTCGGGTCCACACCCTGCAGAAAAGACTACGGTGACGATGTCCGCCGAGCCAGGCGCGTAGCTCTCCTGGTAGACATCATGGTCTGGGGGGTCGAGATCAGGAAGTCGAGCAGGTCATCGCTCCCCGCTGGAGGACTCGCCAAACTGCCCCAGACCCTCCGTTGATGCCACAGCCGCTCGCTTCTAGCACCCATGCCCAGCGCTGCACGCCGATGGGCGGGAGGTTGGCCATCTCCGCGGCCAAGGAAGCGTCGAAGCAAGCGCCGCGCTGCCCGAGCCACGTCCTGGCCCAGCTGGGCGGCTACCAGCGCCACGCGGACGAACGGCAGCACCAGCCAGCGGAGGTCCCAGCCTGCAGCAGGCTCCAGAGGCGGCGGCGGCGCTGGCGCCTCTGCGGGCGGCTCCGCGGGAGCCGAAGGCGGCGCCGCGGGCGACAAGGCCGGATGCGGCACAGGCTGCTCTGACGCCCGGCACTGCACCTCCCCGCACGAGACGTTGGGGCACACCGCCGCGGGGCAGGCGGGCGCCGAGGGGCACGTCGGAGCGGCTGGACAGGGCGGCGCCCGCGCGATCCAGGCCGCCAGCAGGTTGGTCGCCGCGCCAAGGAAGACCACGGAAGCTCTGCCCACCATCCGCGATCGCCTGAACGGACGCACCAGCCACGCTGGTAAAACGGTTTGAACATGCATGCCCACGGCCCCCCCGATCCCCACGGCAACAAAGAAACGATGGCACGTCATGCCAATACTACCATCTTCGTGTCTACTGTTGTCGACGTTGCCATGATACCGCGCCCGCCCAAGTTGCCGAGTCGCACTGAAATGCCGGCTGGGATGTGCCGAACGGTCAGCGCCACCGCGATCGCGTCGGTCGCCCCAAACGCGCCAAACTGGCTGGCCGCTGCGCGCGAGAGCATGCGCGGGCTAGCGCGGCCGCAGAGATGCACCAGCCAAAACCAAGCACTCATCGCAATCGCTCCCGCATAGGTTTTGCAAACCAATTTCTGGGCTGGTGTGTGGGATGAATGCGCGAGCAGTGGAGTTGATAAGTTCAAGTTCGGCAAGTGAATCGCACTTCGTAGAAGGCACCACCTAGATTGCACAACGTGGATTGCGCAGCGAATATTGCACCGCATACACTGCACCACATAGACTGTGCCACACAGGTGGCACCACGCAGACTGTATAACAAATTTGGCACCACATGTTTTGCGCAACATAGATCGCACCATGTAGATGCCAACACATATATTGCAAGAAACACCATGCTTAACTCCCACGCTGGCTAACATTCGTTCGAAAACACAACTACGATATTGTTTTGCCAATTTCGGACTGCCGTGGCCCTCGCCGGGCCCCGGGACCGTTATATTACAAACCGCTCGGGATGGAAAACCGGTCGTGCGGGAGGGGTTGGGGCATACGGGGGCACCGTATTGAAGAGATTAGGACGTCGCATGTCTGGGTCCCATCCTCCCCCTCTGCCTACGTCTTCCCTTCGCGGGCTTCGGAGAACGCGGTCGAAACCGCACCAGGATGATTGAGAAAACAACATGGAACAGAACAGGCAGCCGGCAGCGGCACAGCAGTGACGACGGTCGCCGGGAGAAGCACTAAAAACCCTCCCCCTCCTCCTCCTCCTCCTCATTATCCTTCCTCCTCATGCTCTTTCCTCCTGACTCCTCCTCCTGGCCCTGCACGGCTGCCGCCGACGGACGCAAGGATGAGGCGAGACCGTCGCCCTCGAAACACTCAGGCCTGGATGGAGTGCGGGGGACGTCGAGGCAGCCCGCTCGACGAAGAGGAACTTTGAACAATTGGGCGCCATGGTGGAGATCTTAGCATGGGGGAAACGGGTCCTGAGGGAAACGGATCCTGGACCCTGGGGCATTCCCCAAGAACGGGATCTTCCTCCTGAGTCGTTTTCTGACAATCCCAGGGCCTGTGCAAGGACCCGAGAGCTCGAAACGGCGAGAAACCTCAGGAGCCGCTTCCCTTAAGAACCCGTTTCCCCGTGGCGAGATGCGGCCGTCCAGGCGGTGGAGAAACGTGGCCTCTCCAGTCCGTCCTCGCAGGTGCGGTTACTGCGGCCAGCCGGTCCCGTTGAGGCGCGGGGAGGGCCGATGTAGTGATGCTGCGGGTGGCGGTAGGCGTCCCCTCTCTTCGCGGCGCGCGGAGGGGAGAAGGGGGAGGGGGGAGGGCTTCTTGGAAGGAGGCTGCTTCTTCGAAGGAGTCGGACGCCCTGCACCTGCAGACAAGGCCCGCGCCTTCTAAGAAGCCTGCCCGTGCCCCTGAGACGCCTGCCCCCCCCCGCCTGCCACCCTCTTCGGGCGGCCGACTCTTTCGGGGGCGCGCAGAATGGACTAGCGATCCATGGATTTGGCGCGCGGTCGCCCAATCCGTGGATCGGGGGAGGTGCCCTCCCCAAAATGCGGCCCGTGCCGCCCCGTTCGGCGGCGGGCATCCGCGATTTCCCGTGGAAGAGGGGCCCGTCAAAAATCCACGCCCCTGACTCTTGAAAGGCTGGCCGTCCTCGCCGCACCGCAGACGTTGTCGACGTGGTTGGGGCCGCCGTTCCCGTCCAGCAGCACGTGCCCGTCCGTCCAGCCAACGCTCCCAGTGCCGAGGTCTTCTGTGGCGTCGTGGGCAAGACAGCGCCCTCCCCAGGGGCGCGCGAGGGCAGTTCTCGCCCCGAGCCGGGGCTTTGTTCCCTGGGAGCTGCAACGCAGGGGTGCGAACGCAGCTCAAAGGGGGGGGGGGGCAGGCACACATCCAGGGGCCACGCTCGCCCTTGCAGTCGACGAGGCTCCAGGGCGAACGCGTGCAATGCCCTCCCTCCGCCCCGCCCCCTGGGCTGTCCACCCCCCGCCTTGGCCGCCTGCCTCCCCCCCCAGACTGGGGAGACCAATACATACCGCTGCCGTTACTCCCCGGACTTCTGCCCGGGCTCCTCCCGCGAATCCAGCGGTGGCGACGAGAGCCTCCCAGGAGGCCGACAACAGGGGAAAACGGAGGAAGGGCAGCGGCATGGGTACCTCGTCCTCCTCCCCCCGGCCGTGACCGTTCGCGAAGCCCGAGGCCGGCTAGAGAGCGGGGTGGCCCAGGCCCGAGGCGGCAGGGCGGGCAGTTCAGCGCACCGGAGCGCGCGGGGCGGGGAGCGCAGAGCGAAAGCGAAACCCTTCGAGATCCCGTGCGCGGCTTCTGCTCCACATCCGGGGCCCCCAGGTAGTCCCGGGCCCCACCACGTCTCGCCTCGTCTCTTGGGTTCTCGGCCCCGACCCCCCTCGTGGTCCCGAGCCCCACCTCGTCTCGTCTCGTCTCGCGGTCCCGAACCCCGACGCCCCCCTCGTGGTCCCGAGCCCCACCTCGTCTCTTGACGGCCCTGGGGCCTGGGCGCCCTCCCGCTCCAAAAGCGAAGGCCCAGTCGAAGGACCTCCGCGTTGCTTCTCTCTTCTCCGTTCGCTGCGCCGCAGGCCCGCGGCGCGCGCGCGCGCGGCGAGCCTCCTGCGCGACGTGCAGCAGCTGCTCTCGGAGGGCCAGCAGCTTGGGCCGCTCGAACGGCTGTCCTTCGCCCCGGGCGGGGGCGCGGCCGCTCCGTGTCCGGGTCCGCCGCGCGCTGTCGCTCACGGCGCTGCCCCTCCGCACCCCATCGTCGCCGTCCTCGTCCCTCCTCTCCCCGCAGCCCTCCAGCCTCTCCTCTCCTGCCTCCGCATCCCCCTCTCTCAGCCCCTCTTGCTCCAGCGCCTCCTCCTCCTCCTCCTCCTCCTCCTCCTCCTCCTCCTCCTCCTCCTCCTCCTCCTGTTCTCCCCACCTCACACATCCATTCCTCATATGTTTCGGACTCCTCCTCCTCCTGACGATCCTCCTCTGCGTCCGCGTCCGCGTCCGCCTCGAGGAGGACAAGGACAAGTGGGAAGGGTCGTGTGCGGGATCCATCCCCCGCGCCCGGGGCCCCGAGGCCGCGGGGCGGGCCTCAGCACGCTGGCCGTCGCCGCTTGCTGGCGGCACGGCGGCCGCCAACAGCCATGCTGAAGACGGAGATCTGCGAGCCCGCGCCCTTCGAGCACGAGCCCGGCAGACAGGCCGGCAGACAGGCTCTCGGGACCTGCTGGCCGAGGCCGGTGCGCGCAGCGATGCGACGTGCCGGCCACGCTGCCCGCCGCGGCAGCGCGATGAGCTGCCACGATGTCACACAGAGCTGCGTACCAGGCATCACTGCGGTGACCAGAGGCCGCACGGGACAGGTGCTATGCGGGAGCACTCTGTGCCGATCGCCCAGCGTGGGGGCCAGGCGTCCCCGTAGACAAGGGTGCTTTCTTCGCCCGGACTCGGTATCTCGATATCGGCAGGCGGGGACTCGATATCTCGATATATCGATATCGGGGGGCGGGGACTCGATATCTCGATATCGAGGGCGGGGCCAGGCTGGGACTCGATATCTCGACATCTCGATATCTCCGATATCGGGGGGCGGGGACTCGACATCTCGATATCGGGGACGGGGGTGTTCGGGGCGGGGCTCGATGTACGGCGCCTCGCTTCCCCCCAGCGCCGCGGACGGGCGCCGCTCGAGCGGGCCCAAGCGGGCTCGCAGGCCGTGCATACGAAAATTTCCCCTGTCCTGAGTTTGGGCCCGAGGGGTCCCGTGGCGTCGGAGGGTGACTATGAGGACGATGAGTATGGCAGGGGTGATGACGACGATGATGGCGATCGAGTCCCCGCGCGGATATCGAGATATCAAGATATCGAGTTCACATCCACATGGCTGCAGTCGAATTACGAATCGAGATATCGAACCCCGCCCTCCTCAGAGCGCTCGTCGTCATCGTCGTCGTCTTCTTTCCTCCTCCTTCTCCTCCTCCTCCTCCTCCTTCCGCTCCTTCTCCTGATGTCTCTTTCCTCCCTGAGCGGCTCTCCTGAGCAGGAGGCCTCAGAAGGCCACAGGACTGGCTCCAATCCCAAGTGTTTTACATATGTTTCTATAGATTGTCCTTCTCCTGTGTATCCACTCCGAGATGGGGCCTGCCCTATAGATTGGGCCTGCCCTTGGGCATGAGTCCTTGGTGCTTTACGCGTGTTCCTGTAGATTGCCCCTCTCCTGTGGCTCCAATCCGACGTGTTTTACGTTTGTTCCTATATATATGTGTGTATATATATATATATATGTGTGTGTATGTATGTGTATATATATATATAGATGGATTGGGCTCCTCCTGGGGCACGAATCCTCCCCAGGAGGCCCCAGGAGGACCCCAGGAGGCTCCGGGAGGCCCAAGGAGGCCACATGAGGCTCCAGGAGGCCTCCAGAGGCCACAGGAAGCCTCAAGAGGCCCCAGGAGGCCCCAAGAGGCTCCAGGAGGCACCAGGAAGCCCCAGGTGGTTTCAAGAGGCCCCAGGAGGCCCCAGGCTCATGCGCAGAGGCGCACTAATGCTATTGAGACTCTTTCACTATCTAACCCATTCACAATTAGATTCGCTCCCAGACCGTCAATACTCAAGCCAGGTTATATTCGAAAGCTCCTGCACCTGCACGCTCAGGGCGGACAGGTCCATGCTGATACATACACGTATGGGGAGCTCCACGCAGTGAATAATGTTATGGTATGGCATTGTATGTAACTGTATGTTACTGGTATGTCATGGTATGATATGGTATGTTATGGCATGATATGGTATGATATGAAATGGTATGGTATGCATGTAATGCCATGCTGTGTCATGATCTGCTGTGCTATTAAATGATACGTTACGCTACGCCGTGTTATGGCATGATGATGGTGGTGATGACGATGGTGATGATGATGTATATAATGATGATGATACAGACGATACTCTCAATTATAATGATACTGATGATGATGCTGCTGATGATGGTGATGATGGTTTCAGCACCCCAAAGGGGAACCGCCAGGGGGGTATTGTACTCCTCCGTTCGCGCCAAAATGGCGGGGATGTCTCGAGCTGTCTGCCTGTTTCGCGACTCAACATCCTCCGCTTTCGGAGCAGATTTGGAGGATGTCTCGAGCGAGGCGCTCAGTTTCGTCCCCCAGGGGGGGGGGCAGATTTTGAGGATGTCTCGAGCGGTTTACCAATGTTGCTGATGGTGGTGATCCTGATGATGATAATGATGATGATGATGATGAAGATGATGATGATGATGATGATGATGATGATGATGATGATGATGATGTTCGTGATGATGCTGATGATGATGATGATGATGATGCTGCTGCTGATGATGATGATGGCGGAGCAAGTTCTGAGGATGTCTTGAGCAGCTCCATGCTGATATATACACATCTGGGGAGCTCCACGCAGTGAACAATGTTATGGTATGGCATTGCATGTAATTGTATGTTACTGGCATGCCATGGTATGGTATGGTATGGTATGGTCTGCCTTGGCATGCTATGATATGGTATGATATAGTATGGTATGCATGTAATCCTATGCTGTGCCATGGTATGTTGTGATAGTATGTGATACGTCACGCTACGCCGTGTTATGGTATGATGATGGTGGTGGTGACGATTGTGATGAAGATGATCATGTTTATGATGATGATGTTGATACTGACGATACTCTCAATGGTAATGAAAATGATGATGCTGCTGCTGATGATGATGGTTTCCGCACCCCAAAGGGGAACCGCCAGGGGGGTATTGTACTCCTCCGTTCGCGCCCAAATGGCGGGGATGTCTCGAGCGGTCTGCCTGTTTCGCGACTCAACATCCTCCGCTTTCGGAGCAGATGTGGAGGATGTCTCGAGCGAAGCGCTCAGTTTCGTGCCCAATAGGGGGGGGGGCAGATTTTGAGGATGTCTCGAGCGGTTTGCCTATGTTGCTGATGGTGGTGGCTCCGATGATGATGATGATGATGATGATGATGATGATGATGATGATGATGATGATCATGATGATGATGCTGATGACGACGATGATGATGATGTTGATGCTGATGGTGATGATGTTGATGCTGATGCTGATGATGCTGAAGATGATGATGCTGATGATGATGATTGCGGAACAAATTCGGAGGATGTCTCGAGCGAGGCGCGGGATTCAGCACCCTCAAGGGGGAACCGCCAGGGAATATGGCACTCCTCCATTCGCGCAAGAATGGCGGGGATGTATGTCTCGAGCGGTCTGCCAGTTTCGCGACTCAACATCCTCCGCTTTTGGAGCAGAGTTGGAGGATGCCTGAGCGAGGCGCTCATTTTCGCCCCCAAGGGGGGGGAACAAGATTTTGAGGATGTCTCGAGCGGTTTGCCGATGTTGCTGATAGTGATGATGATGTTGATGATGATGTTGATGATGATGCTGGTGATGCTGCTTATGATGATGATGACGATGATGATGATGGTGGTGATGATGATGTCGCTGATGCTGATGCAGATGCTGATGCTGATGCTGGTGATGATGATGATGCTGCTGATGATGATGACGATGACGATGACGATGACGATGATGATGATGATGATGATGATGATGATGATGATGATGATGATGATGGCGAAGCAAATTCTGAGGACGTCTCGAGCGAGGCGCGGGTTTCAGCATCCCCAAAGAGGAGCCGCCATAAGGTGTGGGAGTCCTTCTTTCGCGCCACAGTGCGGGGATGTCTCGAACGGATTGCCTGTTTCGCGACTCAGCATCCTCCGCTTTCGGAACAGATTTCAGGATGTCTCGAGCGAGGCGCTCATGTTCGCCCCCAAGGGGGGGCAGAGTTTGAGGATGTCTCGAGCGGTTTGCCCAGTTTGCTGGCCAGACTCGTGGGCACGGATCTTCTTCAGGCTGCTACAGGAGGTTCCAGCAGGCTCGAGGAGGCTACAGGAGGCCACAGGAAGTACAAGGATGTGCCAGGATGCCACAGGAGGTCACAGGAGGCCCCAGGAGGCTCCAGGAGGCCACAGGAGGCCCCAAGAGGGTCCAGGAGGCCCGAGGAAGCACCAGGAGGCCCCACGAAGCACCACCATGATGGATATGACGACGATAACGACGACGATGATGACGACGACGACAACGATGATGATGATGATGATGATGATGACGATGATGATGATGATGATGATGATGATGAGGATGAGGAGGATCGTGATGATGATGGGGGCAGGTGGAGGAGGAAGAGGAGGAGGAGAACACTCACTCTCAGACTCACGCCCATTCATGATGGATATGACGACGACAAAAAAAGACGACTACGACGCTGCTGCTGCTGCTGCTGATGATGATGATGATGATGATGATGATGCTGATGAGGATCGTCTTGATGATTGGGGGACGGAGACGGAGGAGGGACACTCACACTCAGATTTACGCACACTCAGACTCACTCACACTTAGACCCACCCACCATCAGACTCACTCGTAGTCAGACTCACTCGTATTACTCACTCGTATTCAGACCCACTCGGACTGAGACTCATACTCATCGTACTCATACTCAGACCCACTCACATTTAGGTTTGCACACAAAGAACCACTCAAACTCCGACCCACACATTCACCCGTAGTCAGACTCACTCGTACTCCCACTAATTCAGACTCAGACTCGTACTCATTAGACTCACGCTCAGACCCACTCACACCCAGACTTACCCACACTCAGACCGCTCTAACTCAGACTCGCTCATATTCTGACCTACGCATTCTCAGACCTACTCGTACTCAGACTCTCTCATACCTGGACAAACTGACACTCGCACTCAACCATACGAAACCCCGTTTATAAACCAAGCCGGTTTATATCCGACAACTCTTGCGCCTAGACACTCACGGCGGACGCATCCATGAAATAGAAAAATAGATGCACATATGGCGAGCTCCACGCAGTGAATCATTTTATAGTGTCCATTATTTTGGAGGGCTCCGGAGAACACTTTTTGGTCGGCGGGGCGAGAGCGAACCTCTTCCGCTAAAAGCTAGGTGGGCTACGCGCAGCTCTAATTGGGGAGACAGGGCACAGGCGGGCGGGGCCTCAGGCGGCCGGAGAGGGCGGGGCCCGGGGTGCAGCGGGCTCCAGAGACACGCCGCAGCAAAAACAAGACGGGGACTCGATATCTCGATATCTCGGTATCGGGGGCGGGGACTCGTTCACCATCATCGTCGTCATCACCCCTGCCATAATCATCATCCTCATGGTCCTCATCGTCATCACCATCATCATCACAATGACCATCACAAGCATCATCATCATCACCAACATGATCATCAT